TTTTTTGGTGGAAGTGGGAGTTTTTGTTTTATTTTGTTCTATTTGTTTTTGTTGTCTTTGGGGTTGTGTTGTGGGTATCTATCTAGTAGGTACTATCTATCGGGCTATGTATCTGTCTGTATGCGTGGTGATGGTGTAACCCTTTTGGTTCGTATACATTGGTGTTGCTTTTGGCTGCAGGATCCGATGTCTTGGGCTTGTTTAAGATAAGGAATCCCAGTCGTGAGGTCATGGGGAGGGTTGTAAATTTTTCTTTTCTTTTTTCTTCGTGGCGTGGATGTGTCTGGTTGGATTAGGGAATGGTTTCCACTGTGGCTGGCGGGCCGGCGACAAGTCGTTCCTCATTGTCAAGTAAACGCATACATACATGATTTTGGGTATACAGTGATGGAGTGTTGTTTGAGTTTACAGGAAAATAACCACACATAATACATGCTCCTCGCATCGTAGAAGATAACTAGGGAGAATATCGCCAACGCGACCTGCATGAACTACCAGTCTCCTTCGCTATCGCTGCCGGGGTATGCCTTCTTGCGCAGCTTCCACAGGGATTTCTCCCGCTGCGCCGCCTCCCGCTGCTGGCCGCTGTTGTCTTCAATTACCGTCATCCAGGGTGCATTGCTGGCCCGTCGAATGCGGTCCCGGAGGATCGCAGACACCCGGGCTTGCTGCTCTGGCTCGAGGAGGCGGTCTTCTTGGTCGGTGGGGGCTTCGGTCTTCTTGAGTTTCTCGACGGACTCCCGATAGCGTCGCTCTTCGGCGCGCGCGGCGTAGTAATCTTCGCTGATCGCCCAGTTGGGGTTGTCGAGCTGGCCGCGGACGAGGACGATGCCGTGGCCTTGTTCGAGGGCGTCGCGGATCGCCGATCCCGCAATGGGCGTGACCAATTCCAGCCGCTGCGAGGAGACGTCGATGGAGCGTACGAGAGCGAGACCTAAACAGCGGGATGTTTTCGGGTCGAGAGGGTTATTGCTACCGGAGCCCACGAACAGGTAGGGTAGGTTCTCGGTAGGTGTGCGAGCGATGTTTGCATCGATGAATGGGTTAATGGGGTCCTGGGAAGTACCTCCATCCATCGGTGTATCGGTGGAATCGTCCATGGTGACATCTGCATCTGCGGATTGGGCAGGGTGGTGATTTGTTAGACCGGGGCCATCGTTCTGGCCGAGAATCGCTTTGGGGGACTCCACGGCGACGACGGCGACAATAGCCCCGTCCAGGACCTCCCGGAGCAGATCAGGGTCGATCTGAGAGCCCATGACCATAACACCCTTGATACCCTGCTTGGGTCCGGCGTAGTGGACGTGGAATGGCCTGGTCCGGGAGATTGGCTTCTCTAACCACAGCGGGTTGCTGATTTCGGTGGGGCGAGTCATGTGGAAGTAGGACTGCATCTGCATGGACCGTAGCTGCGCGCTGGACCGGCTTACGAAGTCGGTTGGCTGTGACGGGAGGATGGTCAGAGGGACCATAGCTTCTTGAGCTGCCTGACCGAGAGGCATCACGACCTCTGTGGGACCTTTCTCGCTCATGTATACGACATCGGACAAGCCGAGGGATCGAACGAGCCATGTCGCAACTTCTAAACCAAGTCCAAAAATCCATCCGGGATAGTTGATGATCAGCGGACATTGGGGGTAGCTTGCCAGCAAGGCACGGTAGCGATCCATGAGGTCCATGGCCGCGAGCACGTAGTGGTCAGGGTCGTCTTTAGGCGATGTGGCCCCGATGTGATGGGCTCTGATGATGGTTCCCTCCTGGGGACTATCTACCGATGGGTGGGAGAATGGGGGGCCGAAGACGGGGGACCGGAGATGCGCCAGATACACTTGTCCCATGGGAGAGAATTCTGGTTGGCCGGGGTCAAGATCAAGGAAGGCGACGCCATCGGTGTTACAGTAATTCGTTTCAGTCTGCGGGGCCGGGCTGAGCAGATGGTTTAGAAGATACCGGCTGAATGTAGATTTTCCAGAAGCTTTGGGGCCACAGATCAGTGCCTTTAATCGACCTCCTCGCTGAGATAGCGATTTGATAGCTGAGCTCCATTGCTTCTCCAGATGCAATGGCCGGAGATGTCGTTTGAAGGAGTCGTCTGCGGACGTGTACAGCTACAAAATGTCAATACAGAGACCCGATATCAGGGTAATGAGTTCCACTTACGACGGAGAACGTCCTTTTAGCGGAAGATGGGGCATTTCTGAGTGTGAGTTTGTCGGCTGAAGTATTTTTGCCATTCCATATCCGTCGATATAGAGGAGACAGATCCCTGAGGCGATAGATACCACTGTGGCAAGACTTGACTTCAATCTCTGCTGCCCCATCAACCCCTGATACACACTTGATCACGGGTAATGAATGTGTAGACGGGGCGTAAACTCGGTAAAGTCGCGGAGAAGGGTGTAGTTTCGCACCCATGACACTGACGACACCGCGCTTCACCCACAGGTCGTAATGGCCAATCAACACCAGACTCATTTTCTCCTTTATACGCACGCACAACGTATGTTCATCGCTGTAGACTATATTGCTCTTGCTCAAACGAGTTTTGGATAGAGGGAACTCTTGGATCGGCCCGGAGGTATCAGCGGGAGACTCGTAACTAGAGACCATCAGTGTCTATACCCAACGCAGCAGCTAGTACCTTAACACTTACCCATCAATATCACCTCTAAGAGGAGCGATTCCGGCACCATTCTCTCCCACAATTGGATTTTGCTCTTCAGTTTCTTCGTCTGAAGAAGACTGGTCTTCGGGTTCCTGGGGAGAGGTGCGAACAGGCAATTGTTCGCTAGATTCCACCGAAGGTGTTTTCTCCTTTTTCTCCACCGGTTTACTAGCTTTCAAGCTCTCAGCTTTCCGTTTTGAGGACCGCGTTGTCCGTCCCTGAGGTTCTCCGCTGGCAGGCGGGGTTGGCACCGCTTGTTCTGGCGAACGTCGTGGTTTCTTCGCCGGTGGCTCTTGCACTGATTCCGGTTGCGAAGGTTTTGCCACAGCTACCGCAGCCTGCATTTGCTGTTGACGAGCCTTACGCGCCGCAACGGCGCTCATTGGGGCCGGTGCTAAAGAAAGCCATGTCAGTAGACTTCTTCAATGAGGATAGTATGGCGCTGCGCACCGGCCGCCTGTTGCTTTTCCGCCTTTCTCTTCATATTTTTTAAAACCACAATGAGAATGACTAGATTTCGAGGTCATTCGTCAGCGTCGCAAAGACTGAAGAAACGACGTTGGCGGCTCTTTTTTAGAAAATCATTTAAGACCGCGGACTTTGATGGTGGTCCGTGCTTCGCGGAGCAGAAAAAAAAGGTTATCGCTCCGACAAGAACTACGTCGTTCTCTCAACTCCTAAAGACTATTTGCTCTGTGATTTTTTATTCAAGACGATCGCCAATTGCACCTGTGAAATATCCAGCGTTAATTGCTAAATATTCCCTGTCGTCTTGCGAAAATCGACTTTGCTCTACAAGGCTTGGCGTTCCGTATCGCAAGCTCCAATTTTTTTTTTTTTTTTTTTTTTTGCTCCGCAATCTTTCGCATCAACGAACGTACTGTTCAGACGTCCTGCGAAAGACACAATGGCCCCCAAGTCGAAGGAAGTAATCACCTCGGACAGCGAGAGCAGTCGCTCCAGCTCTCCTGAAGTGTCGAAGGAAGCGGAGGTTTCGAGTTCGGAACCCGAGACCAGCGACAGCGATAATGACAGCGTTGCCTCCGAAACGCAGGACAAGAAAAAGTGAGCATTTGTCATGCCATACAGTGGCTTCAAATCTAATCCGCTACACATAGGTCCTCTAAGGTCTCCTTCCAGGCACCTCAACCCTACCGGGCACCCTCTGGTTTCAAAGCCGCGAAGAAGCAGTCGCCCCCCTCATCCAGCACTACCTCCCTTCTTTCCGATCTGCGCGGCAAACAAGTCTATCACATCACCGCTCCTGCGTTCCTGCCTCTGTCTAAGGTGAAGGAGATCTCACTGGGCAAGGTCATGAAGGGCGAGCCAGTCATGAAGCACGAAGGTGTGCAGTACGGAATTCCAGCGGAGAGTATAACCCAGAGCGATGTGGGCGGAAAGGCCCTTCTTTTGTACGACTCGAAATCTCAAACATATTACACTACATCGACAAAGGATATCCGGAGCTATCATGTCCAAGAGTTGATCAACCTTCCTGAAAGATCTGAGGAAAATGACACGGTGCTGGAAGCAGCCAAGGAACAGATCAAGCCGCCAAGGAAGCAGCCCAAGCACCTCAAGATGCGTTTCCGACCCGTTGGTAGCGAGCAGGTACCACCGGAGACCCTTGGAAGCAGTTCCGAGGAGTCGGAGGGGGAGCAGCCCACGTTCAAGGTGCCCAAGGAATCGCGCAAAGAGAAGGAAGATAAGAAGCGAAAGCACCATCAGACAGATGGGGAAGGTAGCCAGCCCAGTGCTGAGCCGCGGAAGAAATCCAAGAAAGAGGACGGAGTAGAGAAGGCCGAGAAGTCGAAGAAGTCGAGTAAGAGCAAGGAAGAGAAGAAGCGCAAGAAATCCGACAAGTCTGCTTGAGGTTGATTCTGTGAATCATGATTGCGCTTGTTTCCTTTCTCACCAAAAGTTAAATGGTATTTGCTATGCATGAAGGCGTGATGATACCTGCAATGGCCTCCTCGAGCTTACGGTTTTCTTTATTACCTCTGTTTTCTTCTATTCTTCTCCCTGTTAGCCCTGCAGCATCTGTACATAAGGACGAAATGTAGAATTTCTGTTGTTCGAGTATTAGGTCTGGTAAACTGGTCCTAGAACGTATGTATCTTTAAGGGCTCGAGAGACCACCACATGTAAGGGGTGGAAGAGAAACGAAAAACTTCGGTCTAGTGCTTGGCAAATATAAATAGTGTTATGACTGTTGAAATGTTTCCATGGATAACCATGTCCGTAGAAGGAGCACCATGGTCCGTTGTGTTCAAGAGACTGACCACAGATGGAGGCTGATCCAGGCTACCTTGTAAGTCGAGAGGCCCACTAAGGAGTGTCGATCAACCCGAGTCTATTTCGCCAATTAAGCATAGCCACTAAACCTCAATTATGGGGCCTCGTGAACTAATTTAGTCCTCCAGCTGTCAGTGATCCATTGTATGTACTGATACGTTCTACCAAAAATTGGATGAACCCCTGGAGTCACAGGATTAATTATGACCGTAGAAAAAAAATGGGTGAACATGTAGTAAACAATAAACTACCTCACGGGTACTCAGTAGGTACTATTGTTGGCCGTTTTTCTTGACCGCATCCCCAGGACTCGAAACTAATTAATTAATCTACCGACAGATCGGATCCTGGAGAATGACATAAGCCACTCAGGGACTGGCTGCTATTGGCCCATCCGTGGACCACAATCACATGCGCCGAGTCTGATTGGCTCCCGGTAGTTGAGGCGAACAGCTGATATGGGCGAGTGACGCCAGACTCCAGACTCCGGACTCCCATGCTTCCTTCCTTCGTGCCTAGCATTCACCTTGCGTATCGTACGCTCGTCGACCGCTTCACGCTCCTCTCATTCTTTAGTCGCTGGCTCCCAGTATGATCACCATGTCTCTCTCTTCGTGATGACTCACAACTTCCCCCGTGTCCTGCTTTGGTGGCTCCCATCTCCGTTCTAGACGGGCCGTTGATACCGTTCTAAGCAGCGCTTATCGGCTCGCGGACAAAAACGTTTTGGGTACTTTCCCTGCTTTTACTTTTCTTTTCTTTTTCCGTATGCCCTGTCTCGTTTCCTGTAGCCCCTATATTTTTGTTTGTTTGTCCTGTCTAGATATTTATGGACGGTTAACTGATGACATGGCTAACCTAAGGTCATCTGTCGGCATAGCGCCTTCCGCCTTCGTCACTCGCGCGGACAACTCACTCCCTTGACTCAAGAGAGTACACCCATACTCTTATGACCATCACTTCCCGCGTGCTCGCTGTCCTGTTTAACCTCCTAATCCTTGGATTCTTCTTCATTTACGCTCTTTATTCCCCTCGTCTCCGATCTAGATGCCCAACATGAAACCTCTCCTAGAAGACGCAAAGCGGCGAGTCGACCGTAGACTCAGTGCAGGCAGACAATCAATCTCTTCTAGCCGCATATTTTCCAGTGCCTTCCCGGAGCGGTTAAAAGACGACCATGATGCCCAGGTTGACTATACCGCACCACCTCGAGGAACCGGCTCGCGAGACGGTCAGCTGCCGTATATGCACCAGTCCATATTCTCGATGATTGCCGCCGTCGGCTCCAAATCTGATTTCCATGCACGCTTTGATGAATCGAGTGACAGCGAGGGAGAGGTAGAGGGACAAACCCAGAAGCAACCTGGAAAAGGTTCATTGCCGATAAAGAAGAATTCTTCGCTATCACCTACTCTCAAGCCTCAAAGCTCTTCTGAAGGAAGAGGGCGTCGCCATCGAAGGTCGTTATCTGACAACAAACTCTTGCGATCTTTAAAGCTGAATCCCAAGAGTAGTAAATGTACAGAAACAACTATACAAACTGAGCCTCCGACGAGCGATGAAATGTCTCCGCTTCCTTCTCCTAGGCGCGCACGAAGTGTCACTCCTCGCGCGGCTCCTATCCTCAGTCGTATGCTTGAAGCGGAGGCTCTCTTGGACAAAAAGCAATCAGCAGAACAACCTTCATCATCTATCAAGGCGGAGACCGACGGCACGTCTGAACAGCCATCTGCATCCCCACTTTCTCTCCGACTGAAGGAGATGTTTGGGTTCGAGAAACCAGAAAAAGTTCTTGTGGAGTATGCTTGCTCCCTATTACAAAACATTCTTCTTCAGGGGTACATGTACGTCACGGAGGGGCACATATGCTTTTACGCCTATCTGCCTAGAAAGTCTGCCGTTACCATAAGGTCGGGATATCTTCATAAGCGTGGCCGGAAGAACCCAAAGTACAACCGGTACTGGTTTTCACTGAAAGGGGACGTTCTATCCTACTATACGGATCCGTCCAGTCTCTATTTTCCAAGTGGTCATGTTGATCTCCGATATGGAATTTCTGCTACTTTGACCGAGCAAAAGGACAAAGATAAGGAAGTACGAGATTTTCAAGTCACCACAGATCAGCGAACATATTATTTCAGAGCGGATAGCTCTGCCAGTGCGAAAGAATGGGTCAAAGCCTTGCAAAAGGTTATCTTCCGAGCTCACAATGAGGGTGACAGTGTCAAGATTTCCTTCCCCATTGAGAGCATAATAGATATCGAGGAGAGCCCTATTACCGACCTTGCTGAGACATTTAAGATCCGGGTAGTTGAGAGTGATGAATCATATGCCATTGATGAGGTACGTATTTCATAAGCGAATGCCATGTTGTGACTAACCATTGGGTCTAGTATTACTTTTCATTCTTCGAATCTGGTCGGGAGGCATATAACTTTGTGAAAGGGTTGATCGGCGAGAGCCCGATGAAAACGTCCCAGCTTTTACCACGACCGGAGCAAACAAGCCCCAAAAGTCGCACTCGTGGGCCTCGAAACAGATGGTCGTTAAATAGCGACCTGAGTCAATCTCGAGGAAATGAAACTATTAAAACACAACGTCAACGGAGTGCAAGCACCGGCCATACTAACCCTGGTCCCGATGGCATCGGAATGTCTCCCCGACAGCGGGATCTATCGGATTCGTTTGTCAACTCTTTCGAGCAAGCAACAGACGCTTCGGCGGCTCTCCAGTCGATAACCGATACAACAGAGTCTGCTAGCCAGATCTTGAATCGAAGTGATGTTTTCCAATCTCCAACAATCCACACCCTGCAACAATGGCATTCCGATGGTGACAGGACAGGCCGTCGGCTTTCAGACGGAACGGCACGGTCAACTCATCCAAACGCTGCTGATGCTAAAAGAAATGGGCAGGAATTGCAATATGCCAGCAGTGAGTCCGACCAGGGCACACAGCACCCATCTAAGGTAAACTCATCCGCACCAACCTTAAATGAACTGGTCAGAGCTGGTACGTATCCCCTTCAGCGTGCCGCCGGATTTGCAGAGTATTTGCGAAACCGGTCGAGGCAAATGAGCAATCTTCTGGCAAGCGAATCAATGGGTTACATTGAGAAAGTCTCCGGGATGTGGGCCGGTGGCCGCAGACATTATGGAGAAACTGAAGGCGTGCTACCAGATGATCAGGATGTTGATCCTGAAGACAAGGAAGACGGTGTCAAGCATGGAGATCGTTTCCGTGCCCATTTCGCCCTGCCGCCAACCGAAAGGCTGCAAGCTACTTATTACGCATATCTACATCGTGTCCTTCCGCTATACGGGAAAATATATATCAGCCAGAAAAAGCTTTGTTTTCGTAGTCTTATTCCGGGAACACGCACCAAGCTGATATTACCACTCAAAGACATTGAGAATGTGGAGAAAGAGAAAGGCTTTCGGTTCGGATACCAGGGGCTTGTCATCATCATTCGGGGACACGAAGAGTTGTTCTTCGAGTTTAATACGGCAGACGCTCGAGATGACTGTGCGGTCACAGTACACCAAAGCCTCGAGTCTATGAGGTTTTTGGTAGAGTCTGGCCTGCTAGCAGAACAGGAAAAAGACGAGATCGAATCAGCCCAAGCAGAGCATCGCATGCTACAGGAAGCTAGGTTAGATGGAGCTGGTGAGCATGACTCTCACGCATCTGTGAATGAGTCATCGGAGCTTCATCCTATTTTTGATGACCCTCGTGCTTCGATTATCAATTTCAAGCCCTCCGAGTCATTACGCATTACATGCCTTACCATCGGTTCGCGGGGTGATGTGCAGCCGTATATTGCCCTGTGTAAAGGGCTGTTAGCAGAAGGCCATAAACCTAAAATTGCAACCCACGCAGAGTTCGAACCATGGGTGAGAAAGCATGGTATTGACTTTGCCCCAGTTGATGGTGATCCTGCCGAGCTCATGAGAATATGTGTTGAGAATGGAATGTTTACATATTCATTCTTGAAAGAGGCGTCCACAAAGTTTCGGGGATGGATTGATGACCTTCTATCCTCAGCATGGGCCGGCTGTCAAGACAGTGATCTTCTTATTGAATCTCCAAGCGCAATGGCTGGTATTCATATCGCTGAGGCACTCAGAATACCCTATTTCCGTGCCTTCACGATGCCGTGGTCCAGAACAAGAGCATATCCGCATGCCTTCGCTGTCCCGGAGAACAAGATGGGCGGTGCGTACAACTACATCACCTATGTTATGTTCGACACTGTCTTCTGGAAGGCCATTGCGGGACAGGTGAATCGTTGGAGAAAGAAGCAGCTCGGACTAAAGGCGACCACTCTCGATAAGATGCAGCCGAACAAGGTTCCCTTCCTTTATAACTATTCTCCTTCTGTGGTGGCCCCTCCATTGGATTATCCTGACTGGATACGTATAACAGGGTATTGGTTCCTGAGTGAGGGAACCAATTGGACTCCTCCAACAGACTTGCTTGACTTCATTCACCGTGCTCGCAGTGATGGCAAAAAATTGTCTACATTGGGTTCGGGTCTATCGTCGTGTCTGACCCTTCGGCTCTAACCAGAACTGTGGTTGAATCCGTCCAAAAAGCTGATGTCCGTTGCATTCTGTCGAAGGGGTGGTCAGATCGACTAGGAGATCCTGCCAGTGCGAAGGTCGAAATTCCCTTACCGCCGGAGATTTTCCAAATTCAAGCCGCGCCGCATGACTGGCTTTTTTCGCAGATCGACGCAGCAGCACACCATGGTGGCGCTGGAACTACTGGAGCGAGCCTTCGGGCAGGTCTTCCTACCATCGTTAAGCCGTTCTTTGGTGACCAGTTCTTCTTTGGCACCCGCGTCGAAGATTTGGGCGTGGGTATCTGTATGAAGAAGTTGAACGTAAGCGTGTTTTCGCGGGCTCTGTGGGAGGCTACTCATAGCGAGAGAATGATTGTAAAAGCGCGAGAGCTAGGTGCACAGATACGAAGCGTAAGTCTCCAAGCTAACCTTTGTCACGGTTCGTTAGCTAACATTCAATCAGGAAAACGGTGTGGATACGGCTATTCAAGCAATTTATCGTGACCTGGAGTACGCTAAAACACTGGCTCGGCAGCGCTCGATTGTCTCGTCAACTCCTTTCTCCCCAACACCATCGGCTAAAACCGTGGCCGAGCAGGAAGAAGATGACATGGATGACAGTGAGGAGTGGACATTTGTCGGTGACGACACAGAAATTGATGTTTCAAGACGGCTGCGTGATCGAGCGGTGTCTGATGTTGATATGCTACCCGAACCAGTCACAAGCGCATCGTAGGCGGGCTATCGACATACCTTGCGATGTTACCACCGCTACTTGTGAGAAACCTTTTCTTATCGGCTCATGACTTATGGTTTTGCCTATTTCTTCGCTACGGATGTTACTTTGAGTGTCCCGCTTGACTTCTGCTTAGACTCTTTTTATATTTATCTATTCCATTTTTAGTGTTTTCTCTTTCGAACAGATCGCATGGATTTAGATGGTTTGCGATGGTCTCACCTCGGTTGTTTCGTTTCCCCCTTTGCGTTTATATCATACGTGATGACTGATGATTGTTTGGGCGGTGATATACGCCTCCAGCCAGCCGCATCCTGGCTATGACGGCGGCATTGACCTATATTAATTCCCTTTTGTTCATTCTGTGATAGACCGGTATAATGGCCCGGCGCAGGAAGCATAGTTTGTGCATTATTATTTTATTCAGTTCATAATCGATCCCATAGGACTAATAGAGAGCAAGAATTGCTTATATCTACACCAATCAAGGCAGCACTTTGTTTCATCCCAACCCTCACTAGGATATACGCAAACCGAGTAAATGAAAAATCTTTTCTAAGCCAGACAAAGTCATTAAAATGCCTTAAGCACCCGAAGGGCCCTTGGCCGTATCATCGTCTTCGTCGCCCTTCCCATCTGCCTTGTCTTTCCGACGCTGCACGACATCCCAGTTATAGACACGAGCCGTAGCAACTTCCATCGTCTGCGACCAGTTAGCACCTAATCACACACATATAGCTCTATGAAGCTGAAGCAGCGTATATATATAGACAGAAAGAAGAACGAGAGAGGGGAAATGAGTACCGTAATCTGCTCCCTCAAGAACTCCAAATCCTCATCACAATTCGACAGACTCAACTCCGCCGTGGACAACTTCTCCGTCAACATGGTCTCCGCCTCCCCAATCGGATAAGCCAACATAACATTCGCCCCGAGCCAAAGATACACCTCCTCTGTGTCCGCAGGGTCGACCGTCGCACGCGCATAGAGCGTATCGTTCAATTCGAAGTTCGTCTCCAGCGGGTCGGCGTTATTATCGCGGCGCATCTTGAGAAACTTGACCATTTCCAACGTCTTCTTGATATCCGGGATCTTTTCACGGAGGCCCGCCGCCCGTCGTTGTGTGTTTACTTCCATGAACTGGTACTTGGAGATCATCTCTTGGAAGGAGCGGAGCGTGGGCTCGACGTCTGCGCGCGTCGAGACGTAGTCGGTTACATTGTCGACGAAGGGGGCGACGGGGATACCGCGCGGGTTAGTCTCTGGGTTTATTGTTCTGGTTTTTCAGCGGTTGGTTAGTTATTTTGCGGTGGTGATTTTTTTTAGCTTGGGGGTTTGCTTGTTGGCGAGTGGGATGGTGGAGGGGTTGTGATTCCGCCGTGGAATTTTGGTTTCTCGCATATTTTTGGGCGCGGTGACTTACGGGGTCTTTTTGTCTGCCATTGTGGCATGTCAGACTGGGGTCAGTCTGAATGGGGGTAAAGAGGGGGAGGGAGAGAAAGTGAACTGAGGGCGTAATCCGTCGAGTGATAGTAGCGTTATCTGGGATGAAGCCATAAACGCTGAAAGGTTCATGTGGGGGAGCATCTTGCCTATTTGGGAAAGGTGGCGGTACTGAACTGTATTTGCGGTAAGCTTCAACTTGCTTTAGGGCTGAGCTCTAGTAGATTGATATAACTTTGGTTTTGGCTTTATTATTGCAAGACTATCCTCGTAATACCCTTTCTTGCTATTCGAGTTTCCCCCGTTAGTATCCTTGTGTGATTCTTAGCGGACTCTACTGGGAGATCCCTTCGGAGTGATATACTACGTATGCTCTGATGTGAGTAGTACTCCGTGCAATTAGGATTTACCGCAAGCAGTAGTTACTTCGATTTTGTTAATAAATTGGAAGCTGGAGCAAATTACAAATAATGTATTCGTGATATTGTTCATGCTCACCCCGCAAAACCTTCATGTCATAAGAGACAGCCAATCTATCCCGGTTTTAATGACTGTTAGACATAACCCACAACCTACAGGTCGATCTCATTTGACGGCCTTGCCAGATTAGCCCTCCAGTGATGAGTATTGACAGGACTCTTTTGATACAGATTAAGTTCGAAGAACTTGTTGTGCAGGGCACACCTAAAGTTCTTGTAACTACTTCCGCTTAGCAACTGCCTTTCACAGATAGCACGGTATAAACATACGAGTTTAACTTCTCGAAGTTCTTCTCGATAAGCCATTGCTCACCAACCTCGATGAATTCCGCACCAGAAAGGTCTCGGCGTGGTATGAAGTATCTTTTGCTCTCCAACGGGCCGTAGTTCACTTGCTTTACCAACTGTACCGCGTATTCGGGTGCGGCCGATGAAGTATCGTAGTCGGAGGAGACTTCGCTCATCACGGTCCAGTGAGCCCATTCCAGGAATTCGTTGAACTTGCTCTCCTGATCCAAAATTCGCGGCCGGTAAGGGCTAATGTGCGTACAGCAGAAGATGGGGGTAGAGATTGAAGCCATTTTATCGGGCACTAGCAAGTATAGATAGTATGCCTGAGAAAAGCCACGGGGAGATATAGAGCGGACATGAGGCAAGTAACTGTTTATCTGGGAGGACACCATACCTTATTATATTACATTGTATGAGAAACACTTCTGTCAGAGAAGATGAGGACGGAAATGCTTTCCGCCATCCCAAACCAACCATGCCCTATTGTTTTGAGGCCTCCCACAGTCGTACCGTTGTTTGATGCATTCCTGACGTCTTTTTGCATCTTTTGCCTTGGGAGCTGACCCAATGAGCAATACACAATTTGAGGCCTACTGGTGATCCCCCACTAGGGCTCCAGGCTGGTGTCCGCAATAGATGCATATGGCCTGGCCAATGAAACATCCCCGTTTTGAGGCCTGCCATAGCCTCGCCAACCTGAGGCATCCACCAAGCCAGGTTAAATATGGCTGCTTCGTCCTCAATCTCCAAAGTTTCTTTCCTTTCTTTTCCTCTCCAGGGCAGTGGAGCTGCCACTCGTCCGCTCTTTACCTATTGTTTTCGATTCTGAATTCTTGCGAAATTGTTCTATTGTGCTCTTTCTCCCCTTCCCACTTTGCACATTTACGTGGAATCGTTCCCTCTGATCCCACGTAGTTTGGTCTATCCTGCAATCCGGGCTCCGTTTGCTGCTTGTTGGAGAAATCATTTGGCAAGAGACATATCGCCCCTAACCTTCTGTACCCAAAGTTTCTACTCTTATACCGAGCTCCAGTTCAGATAGCGTAGGTCGGCCACCACAGGTACTAAACTATTATCACACAACACTTGACGGAACTGTCGACCCTCGCTGGCTCGATACTGCTGACCGGACGGGTCCGAAGGCACTGCCAGCGTCAGATGATTCTCTCCATCACTTGAGCCAAGACACTCCACCACAGGAACTTGATCAGACTCAGTATCGGGAAGGAGAGCCTGCACATAGCAATTTCGATTCATCGCAATTTATTTTCCAACAAGATTCACCCCAGACACAACATGTTGTACCTGAATTACTGTCGGATCTCTCAACTCTAGGACAAGATACTTCGTCTGCCAACGAACCAATCGATGCCCCCCAACAGTCGTTGCAGTGTGATCTGTGTACAAGTGTGTTTGACAAAAGGGTCCATCTCAAGTAAGTGGCAGTCAGAAGTTGTAAGCAGTTTTCTGAGCCGTGTTCTAATTTTGCATAGCAAACACAAGAGATCCAAGCACGAACGCCCTCACAAGTGTGACGTAGCAGGCTGTGACCGAACGGAGGGGTTCCAATTCAAGAAGGATCTTAAACGGCATCACAACAATGTCCACAGGAAGGGAATCTCCACAGGCTATTTCTGTGAGTATTCCTGGTGCCGCGCTTCCAAGCTACAACGTGGGCGCAAGGGAAAGCCTGGAATGCGGTATGACAACTTTCGGCGGCATATGGAACGCCACCCTGGTTTTAGACAGTGATCTAGATTGAGAGACTGAGTGGCAGTTATAGAAGTCCGATATGTTACAATGTCAGAAGGGTCCAAAGAAGGGGTCCGCCTTATTGAAGTAAGCTCCAAGCTATCGAATGTCTAGTATCAATCCTGTAGTTCAAATGTTATAAAGTATAACCAGTAGAGCACCTTGAAAGTATAGGTATAGCCAACTATTGATACCATGGTCCTGCTTAATATCTAGTAATGATTAAAGAGGAATTGATAGAGCTTCTATACCTGATAGTCTAGTATTTATAGGTATCCCTACATGTTGAGGAATTTCTATATACTGACTTCCTGTCTACAGCGATATAAACATTTCGGAAATACTCGGGTGGCCACAAGGTCTGCTCCGAGACTTCCCGAATTCATCTGACGTGGTGGAAACAATCCACATCGTCTACAATATCTAGAACCAGCCAATCCAAGATGCCCACGGTCAAATCTAAATGCAAAGTCGCTTGCAAATCGTGCAATTTGCGACGAGTCAAGTGTGATCGGACTGAGGAAGCACCATGCACCTACTGCCGACTGGCAGGGCAGGATTGCCAGCCCATTGTTTCGAGACGTGGAAAGTATGCTTGCCTTTCGTACTTCGCTTTTACGCATAAAATACAAATGAACACCAGGCTGAGATAATCCAGGTATAAACGAAATCCTGATAAAAGCACTGCTACTCAGCCGGCACTTCGTCGGTCGTCACGAAAGCAGCAAAATGGACGTAATCCTACCATTGCCGTATCGGGCGAACCAGCTTCAGATACCATTGTCATCAATACTAGTAGCCCAAGTTTTGGTGGTAGGAATCCCACTGCTGAAGCCCAGTCGTGCGAGACTTCTAATCTTCAGTCGAGTACCCCACCACCAAGGCATGGCTATCAATATTCCTCGACAAGCCCGGACAGTAAGGTGGTATACTACGGCGATTCCTTCAACCTTGACTATATATTGCATCAGATGGGAGACTCTTTAGGTGCATCCCGTAATGGTCGCACTTGGGAGGATACTCTTGAGCACTTAT